GGTGTTCATGCGATTAGATCGAGGTAAGATTATTCTAAACAAAACAGGGAAGGTTACCTTTAGCAGTAAAAAGGCTCCGGGAAAATGACATTTGCATAACGGTAAGACATATCCACGCTGCAATAGCAGCCCCGATATAATGGGGATTACTGGAAAATTCGAACCATTTTTTCAGTCACGATTTTCCAAAAGTAGAGTGAGGTGTAGATATAGTTCAACCAGTGATAGAATGACAAGCGAGTACCACACGAGCCACGATGTGCGAGTAGCGAAGGCATTGGCCCGAGGTGGAATCAAATTTTTTGTGTTTGGTGCATGGTACATGTGGCGAACAGGTCTTCTGATGGCAGCGTAGAAAATTCGGTTTCAAAGTGTATTCAGAGATATCTGTCTTTTCACGGGATTTGATAACAACAATGTCTAGTTGAATTACGGTTACGAATATCTGCCTCATTCAATGAGACATTTGTTTCAAATTATGATAAGGTCTATGATTCATGTTGTGCCGAAACAGCACTTAGCTCAACTACATCATTCAGTGTCTTTTTGACTTAATAACGTCTTATCTTTTTTTCAGACACGACGAATCGAGATCAAGGTGGTGCAGTAGGTGATTATTAATAAAAATATCAACATCATGTTTCAGCATCGAAGGTTTTTCCTGGACGATCGAGCACCCGCCATTTGCCGATAATTAGAGAACATTCCTTGGCAAAGACGTGATTGGCACTAATCAGTTAGCTTACGAAAGGCTGTAGATTTATTATCAGTAATTTCAGCTTCTATGGAAAGATGATCTTGAGTAATCTAGAACACTTTCCTAGAGAATGACTTTATTTTAACCTGATCTCGCTTTTGTTTCATGTTTAACAGGGCAATCAACATCAGGAATTGGGGCATCGGGAGGCAATGAAGTTGTGATCATCTCTCCAAGACCAGGTACGTTGGATTGGTTCAAAACTTATCGGATAGTTAGAAATGAAACTTGATTAGATACCAGTAAATGGGAGCGTGAGTTGGACAACTGCTCTAGGGAGCTCATACAAAGACAAAAGATACGCAGGGAAATGCACAGACAGAAAACGTTTGGGCAGGAAATTTTCGCATTTAAGTACTGCAATAAAATTCCCCACAAGACGTTCTCTATCGTGTTTGATTTGATTTTATCGAGATATTCTTAGCGGAAGAAAACACTTTAACATTAGCATTGTTTACTTTGTTATTCAGAATGGGACATGAAAATTTTACTCACAGATTTAACTTTGAAAAGCAGCTATGAACCTCAGTGACATTCATTTTTGGCTTACTTAAAATCCTCCTCTTGAAGTTCCCTCCCTTAGGAATTGTATCCTTAAAAATGTTATTCATTTTTCTGTCAAATTCATAAGGATTCAGAGCTGAAATTTTTTCTTTCGCACAGTAATAAATTTCAACTTGACTTTGATTTGTTAACACAAATTATGATTAGTTTATGGGTTGTAAGATGCATAATTTGGTTAGCTATTAGGAAGTACTATTTTCCAGAGCATGTATTAAGAAAATCAAATCAATCAAGAATTAAATCAAAAAAATTTTTCCTTAATTTAAAGAGAAATGTTTTATAAAAGCAATAGAGAAATTTTTCACATTTTCATCTTGACACTCAGGAGGTTGAGAGAATTTGAGACCCAGTGTAATAATTCCCCTCCTCCCCCTCCTCTATTTTTTTTTTGTGTTAAGATGAGAGTATGTAAACAAAGAAATATTTGTAACTTGTTACTCTGCTGGATCTTAAAATGTTCATTTGCATATTATTTGATTCCAAATATTTTTTTTGTTTCGGATTCCAGATGAAAGCAGTGGTGATGAGGAACTGGCCACCCTAATATTATGGTATATCTTTCAGGAAATGACAGTTGCCTTCTAAGAAACCTGATTAAGGCAATCAGGCAAGGCAAGGAGGCTTCCTGTGCGCTTAAAGCTCACAGGTAAATGTCACAGTGTCTTGTTTATTTCATTAACTATAATTCCCATAATTTTCCAACTCAAACTATGTTAATTTGAATTTACAGGGATCTCTTGCAAAGGGGATAGAGCTCTAAGGGCACAGCAAGACCAAGAAGGTCCTTAAGTTTTATAGATCACAGATGAAATTAGAAGCATAGAATTTATTCAGATTTATGTGCTAAAGATAGTTTTATCTGCATATACCACCTGTTCACTATATACAGATGGCAGTATGCACTGGAAAAACAAATATTAGGTACATTGATGTAAACTGCTATTAGAAAAAGAAATCATGATGTATATTTTTTTATTCATAAAATAGAAAAATTAAAATACAAAGAGGACTGAGGAAAATGGAAATATGATTGTTGGCTTTATTTGAAATGTATTTTATAAAGTGCTGTCATGAATTACTCATGAATTCCAATGTTGCAGAAGGCTTCTGACAGGGCAAAATGTACCCAAACAGAGGCTATAGTAAGTTCAAGCTTCAGCATATCTTTAAATGATTTGTGACCCTTTTAAGAGCAGAATATTAGCATCATGGCACATTTACAGTTGTGTTACTTCAAAATAAACCTCTAAATCTGGACATATCTATTTACATGTGTGTCTCACTTCTTTCAAAGGCAGACAGAAGACCTTAAGACACAGAAAACGAGGTAAATAATTTTTTTAATTGATATTCTATAACAACATACAGGTAGAAATAAATAAACATGAAAAATATCTGGAAGTTAAGTACTTCAAGAAATACTTATCAACAGAAATGCATACACCAGTACCATAAGTGTTCATGAATGCATTTGTTTTTTTCACCAGAGATAATTTAGTGGTATTATAAGAAACTGTTAATAGTAATGATAATGTTATTGAGGATAATTTTTAAAATCATCACAATTGCTATTACATTAGACCAGGAAGTGAGGAGGTTATCACTTTTATGCCCCATGTTAGTTATCTACTAAAGTAAAATAATTCAAATGCACCAATTTTATTTGACAGACTGATCTTGGCAAAGAAGGCCAGATGAAACTGTGGTGGAAACTGTAGAGGTAATGTCTGTACTTCATTAAAACTGCGAAAACTCTGGTACAAAGTATGAAATTTTGCTTTGATTGACTACTGGATATTTGGAGTTCTTGTTTTTAGTCAAATCCTTGCTATAACTTTGCTTGCAATTGATGGTCTAAATAATTGATGCTCTTTATAATTCCCATATGATGAAAAAATCCAGCAACTTTGCCAGTGTAGTGAAGGTTTCCCTCCATGAGTTTCAAGAGTTGATTGAATGCAAATTTCCTCATTATGCTGTGAATCTGTACTGCATGTACAGCACTGGTAATACCAGAAAGGCAATTAAAGTGATATTTTTAGGATTGAAATGATAATTCAAATGGTTCATGTGCAACTCTTTGAACACTGAAGAAATTATTCCCTTAATAAGTCTTGGGAAAACACCGGTGAATATTCTTTAATGCAAGTTAAGCACTACATTTGATCATTCATTTCTAGATCCAAAAAAGAAGGCTTGCAAGGATTCATAGAGAGACAATTATGAAATATAATTGAAATAATATCCACTTCAAGTCTTTTTTCAGTGAAAAGTTAACATTTCTTTTGGTGATCAAAGCACAGAAGAGCAATGTAATTTTTGATATATTTTCTAGGAATATTCTAAACAACCATGTGACTGTGACAGCGAGGGAGATGGCTGTGGAGACAGTACAGTTGTAAGTATAGTCAGTGGTTTGAAATAAAGTCCAATTCCTATTTTAAAACTTGAGGGAAATAATAGCAATATTGATGAAGAATACTTTCATTAAAACATTTTTTTTTTTGCACACTTTCAAGAATCAATAATGTATTTTTTTATTTGATAGTTCAATTCTTGACTCAATCAATAAACTTTCATTTCTATTTTTGAGTGATGTAATCTAAAGTATTTATTCAATATCCATCGTGAGATTTCCTCTCAGAATTTGGGCATGATGATTTGGTTGGATTGGCAATGCACCAAGTTTCATACCTCCCTGACTGGAGTGGATTTATATAATCATGTACTCACGTTGGCATGAATTTTCATATGTCTTACTACCACATCCACAGTATTATATGACAAGCCAAATTTTAGTGTTTGTTCAACATCTCAGCCTTCTTTGATTTTAGCAAATTTTAAATCAGCCAAATAATTAAATCTGGTTGGAGCTTGACAGGAGTAGAAATGAATTGTATTGCAAATATTTATTTCTTATTTGCACCTGCCCCTGAGGAAAAAATCATTATTTGATGTATGCTTCAATGAATAATGAAGGTGAATAAAGTCAAGGGGTTCTTACAATCAGGGGTCTTGCAACCAGGGGTTCTCAAAACCAGGGGTTCTTACAATCAGGGGCTTGTATCAGTGTATCTTACATGACAGGTCTGTGCCCAGCTGTTGATATTGATCATTGTTCCTTACAGTCAGGGGTTCAAATCAACGTGTCTTACATGACAGGTCTGTGCCCAGATGTTGATATTGATCACTGTTCCTTACATACAGGGGTTCAAATCAATGTGAACAGGTCTCTGCCCAGATATATATATTGATCATAAAATCTTACAATTAGGGGTCTGTGTTGATCACAAATCTAGTGCATTCCTGTGATCAGATGTTGATATTGACCTTACAATGTCACATTCATGTGAAACCTATGTCCTAATGTTTATTTTGATGGTAAAATCTTATATCTAGGGGTCTGCACGCAGATGTCGATATAGATTGTGAATGTTTTCATTACATCCACGGGTCTTAGATTCCTTTCTTACAACTAGGGTTTTTCAATTGGACCTTGGAATAGTTGAATAGTGAGTACAAGAGTCTAACTCATAGAGGCAATTATACAAAGTACAAGCTTTGTAATGATGTGGAGGAAAACCCTGGTCCTGCCATGCAGCATGTTGATCCCAATAAAACAATAAAAGATCCACATAAAAAAGGGGATGTTGTATTTTGACAAAATGCAAGACAAAAATTTGTTGCAATGAGTTTATGTGCTTTAATATACCACAATATGAAAGGAATAAGTAACCCTGGTGACTTGAAACAAATAGTGCATATTGGCAATCAACTATACAGCAGTTTGTCAAAACTTAAGCAAGACAATCATTCTTACTGCTTACAGAATTACCAACAATGCTTACAGTATTGCAGGGAAATTACCAGCTAGAATACAGTGCAAGTTACACTGTTAATGTCCATGGTGAGACTTCTATTAAGGAATATCAATACTGAGCCTGAAAAGAGCTTTTGAGTAACTAATATCAGAACAATACAGGTTGCTTATTTTAACAGTTGGTTGTATTGCTGTCAGTATTGTTTACTGTGCTGACAATCACCATTTTAAAGTGTTTGACTCATGCTAGAGATATTTATGGTAAGAGTCATACTAAAGGGTCATACTAAAGGGACATGTATACTATTAGATATATCATCTGCAGACAACTTAGTGCCATACTTTCAAAGTTTATACGGAGTAACTGATGTGTATGAACTGAAAGGTTTACAAATTACAAAAAATGACATAACAGCGAACAACAGTGTAAAAGATGTATTAAATACACCATCAAAAACCACTACTGCTTTGAAATAGCTCTTTATTCTATATGTTACTCAATCATTTCACCTTGTGGTTACTGGAACTCAAATACTTTAGATGCAATTATTCAAAATGGAACTCGGCTTAATAATGCAATGCAAAGTGAACATTATTCAACATCTATTTATATTCGTAACAGTGTTATAATTTTTGGCATTAAGATAAACATAGATGTTGATAAACTAAGTCACAGAAAATTAAATGAATTACCTAAAAGCAGGATATCTTTAAAGACCTTGATTTTAAGGAACAATGGGAAAACAGAATTTTTAATGTGCATTTCAAGTTACTGTGCAGTTTGTATTTATCAACAAAATACCATAGTGAGACTGTTTTCACTTCTGACATGAAGATGGTAATTCACCTGAAATAAAACACACAAAACACATCAGTGGTGTAAACAAACTTCTAGAGGCAATTCAAATTATAACATAGCTAGTAAATTTGTCTTATCAAATTCAATTGCGCGAGTGTCCCTTGCGAAATGGCTTTTGGAATTCCTAGGAATTCCTAGGAATAAAGGTGTGAATTTTCACAGTAAATTCGGACTGGGAATTCCTAGGAATTCCTAGGAATTCCCAACCATAACAACTCTGGTTCTAAAAACCTAGAAATTCCTAGAAATTCCCAGAAATTCCCAGAAATTCCAAGTTTATAGCCAACAGGACTTGGAATTCCTAGGAATTCCTAGGAATTCCAACTCAGAGAACCAATGACTTTCCCTGAAAAGCTGTAAATCTAAAAAATTCCTAGGAATTTCTGGGAATTTCTGGGAATTTTTGGGAATTTTTAGGAATGTTTAAGAATTACTGGGAATTTTAAGCAAAAATTTGAGGCTAATGATATAAAGTAAATACTTTAAATTAAAAAAACCCAGCTAAAATTCAAGTATTCAATGAAATTTATTTAGAAGCTTAATTAAGGCTTACATGTAAAATATTTTTGATTAATTATTAACATCAATGTGTGGTAATATTAGGATGGAATTTTTCTTTTCTTGAAAACTTCATACGGATTAATCCTCAATTACAGCTATTCATATAAAATAGTTCTAATCAATCATTAAATTTGGTTTGACACAAATTGTGAATAAAATCTGTTGATTCTTTTCCATAAAATACAATATCTTAAGTTATATTTATATAGTTATATTCTTGGGAGTGAAGGGGCTAATTACAGACAAATAAAATTGATTTTTTGATTAAAATCTTGTTGTAACTGTAACAATAAATTAGAATGAAGTTATCCTAAACTGCAAACTTAGCTGCTGTTTGTACTGTTTGTATTTTTTTCCTGGACTCACAATGAGTTGGCCTTGAATGAGGTTGTCAACAAGAACCTTGACCATTTTGTATCTGGATTCCTTGACATCTGAATTTGAAAAAAAACAATATATTAAAATATGTATGTTTAAAGCTCAGACCAGGCTTTTAAGATGGCTATGAGGAAAAGGGCATTCATTGGATTCTCAAATTGAGAAATCTCTGTTATATTGAGTGACTTTTATATTGGAGTTAGTACATCTCTCTCATGGATTTTACTAAAAAAGGGCTGAATACATTATTTTGTTTTTACCAAGGAGGGCTTCTTTATGTACTAAGGTTTGTTTAATAACAGTTCCTATTATGAATCTTGAATGTTCCCAAACGTGACTAGAGGAATCTTGAAACCTTACTGATAGGTTTATTTCATTGTAAAGCATAAGCTTAAGAAACTGCGGCATGCAAGTGACCGATTCGATTCTCAGAATTATTCTAGTTTCAGTTGCGCCGAGCGTTATGTAAGCTTAATTCAACCCACTACATCTATTCTTTTATAAGATTTTGATCACAACGAATATCGCAATTTTTACTCACCACAAACTTTCAAAATCGTAGCTTTACAGATGGCCACTCGACCCTTGTTTGTACCGGTCCATATGTCAACTGTTGTCCCTTCTTTTAACTCCACGGCGCCAACGACTTTCTTCTCTTTTACAACACTCACGCTATTCTCGTTTTCCCATTGAAACACAATAAAAGATATCTTTAGAAATGTTATATTAAGCAAAACAGTTGAGAAAAACGATCAACCGATGAAAAGTACATTCAAAGATGAGCGCCAAATGGAGTCTTCTTTGTTTCCGATCACGGGCATGATCACGTGGATCGTTTAGGACTTGTCATTGGCTAGCAAAGAGAATCCGCTGGCTTGCCGATTGCATTTTTAAGAGAAGCGCACAACCTTAATCTGACTTCTTCGACCGGTTCTCTGCTTCTAGACGATGGATACCTTGGTGATATAAATAATGATGTGAGCTCACTCTATGTAGAAATAATCGACAAGAATCGATCGTATTACAAATGCACGATTTGTGGCCGAAAGTTGTCGAGGAAACAAAGACTCGAAACTCTCTTGAGTTGTGTTAATGGCAAAGGTGAGAAATAACACAAGCCAATCACAGTTTTGAATGCGACTACAAATCGTCTTTTACCCTCATATTTATAAAAGAAGGATACCACATTCGGAAGTGTAAGAGATACATAGATGATCCCAGTGTACCAGTACCTAAATCTACAAAGCTTGACCGTAGCAAGCGTTCAGCAACACGTTCCAACACCGCCATCTCGATTCCTCAGTCAGTCGTTTCCACTGAACTTAAAGAAGTATTGACAACAGAGTAGAGTGCGTCTTACAAAGGAGAAACATTTGTACAAGAGACAGGAGTAGCTATATGCGATTACAGAGGTGCGTTGGAACTCTGGTCTACAAATAGTTATGCACTGCCCGAAGTATAAAACAATTTTGTTGATAGCTGACAGACAGAGAAGAACAACAAGTAAACTTAAGAGCTGTTATTACTGAAGTGTGACTAGCACTTTTCATTTTTATATAAAGAAGGACTTGTAATTTGCACCAAAAATAAAAAGATGTAATATTTTTTTGGGAGATCCAGTGATTGGGACATTTAAGAAATTAAGTTATGAAAGGAAACTTGGTTGGTACTTCTCACTACTAACAAGTCTTGTTGACAAATATTTTCAGATCAGAGTTTCAAATAAAGTAAATTGAAGACGTCATATAAAAGGTGTTTTTCCTCAAAGGGTACATTGACTACCTCTGTCTTGTCTGCATGCCAAATGTTTGCAAAGTGTGTGGACGATCCACAAGTATTGGAACTCTTACAAAAATGTTTTGTAAGAATAAAAACAGCAAAACAAATTACAGCAATTAGTCATGAAAATAGAGCAAAAAACTGAAAAAAAGCAGCAACAACAATCATGAAAAAAGAAAGATTAATTACATGTTGAATTTGTTTGTCTAAGGCATGAAATTTCTACTAAAAGTATTGTCAACAAAAAGTCTCTGACAGCGTTTGAGGCAACTGAGCTTGACTGTTCCAAGGTTTTCTAACAAAGGCAACCTGTAATGTAGGTTAGGGAAGTAAGATAACAATGTAATTATTGTTAATTATTGTGGAAGTTGGAAATTTCCATTTAACATAACTGACAGCTGGTTCATGAGAAAATCCATATTAATGTAAAGATTTACTAAAACTTAGTTTGAGTAATAAATTTCATGATCTTTAAGTTATAAACATGTACATGTATGTATATCTCTTGGTAAGTTTTGTATAGCATACCTTTTATTGAGCCAAAGTTTTAAGCCTCTGAAATTACTCTTTTTCTTTAAACCTTCACATTCAAGGTATTGAGAATTTCTTAGAATTTATGTGGACCTCAGGGTATTAAAATTGCCTCAAATTCAATTCCCAGAAATTCCCAAGAGTTCCACACTTCTTAAATTATAGGTAGTTTGTAAAGCTGAGAATTCCTAGGAATTCCTAGGGATTCCAAGTCCTCACAAAACTGAAGTCTTCTTTTCCCAGAAATTCCCAGTAATTCCAAGCTTTTTAAATCAGAGTTAATTTGCATAGTTGGGAATTTTTGAGAATTCCTTGGAATTCCTAGGAATTCCCAGAAATTCCCAGAAAACTGGGAATTCAGTTCGCAAGGGGTGCTTCATATTCCTATTGTGCACACTCATGACGTCAGCAGACAAATCCCTCAAGAAAAAAATTTTCCTTCGGGTTGAAAATGTTATAAAACAATTGGTTCATACATCAGCTGTGCGTTCATCGAGATATGAAGCACTTGGGAAGTTTGGAGAGCACTCAAGAAGCTAGAGTTGCTCTATTGAATAATGTATTAAAAAGTTTAAGAAGAAAATTTAAGAGAAGGCCCTTATTTCATATGTACTCTCTGTAATCGAATACTTTATAAAAAAATCAGTAATGAGGTGCATAAACAACAATTGCCCCTGCCAAACATTTTTTAATATTCAACAATCATTTGATGGTAATGAATATATATGCAAGACATGTCATTCAGAAGTCATAAAAGGAGAAATACCATGACAGGCTGTTGTGAATAATATGTATGTTGATGAAACACCCACACAACTGGCTTCACTAGAAAAACTTGAACAAGAACTAATTGATTCACAATTTTCGATCCTCTAGAGCTACTCAGTTTTTTTTCTGCTTTTTTTTACTGCTTTTTTTTCCCTGACTTCTCAATAAATCGCTCAGATTAAATTTCCGTCACGTTTACAAGCACACAAAAATGTTCGGAATATCCGAAATAATATTCACTTGCGAACCGGTTGTTACGATATTTAGTTGACTGCGTCAGAGCTTTGTATTTCCCTTGGCAATAATGCACCAGTCAATGTAAACCCCCGCACCCCCCGGCCGAGACATAGCAGTGCATTTGACAAGCGCTCACTTCTAAAGTTGCAGAATGCCCCGCACCCCAAGGTCAGGTTTTTCCTCTAATTGAAGCTAACGACCCCGCTCACATCCCCCTCTCTTGTTGAGTGGAAGACACAGGCTAATGTAAATGATTTAAACTTTATTTGTCAAGTAACACACATCACCGCAGACAATGCTTTTCAAATGATGACATGCTTGATCGGTCAAGTGATTCTCAGAATAAATTAAGTTAACCTGACAAAAGATTTTTGTTCACAAAACAACAAACGACCTTAAGGACGGATGGCATACTCAGCCAAAGATATAAGGTGATTGAGATAAAACGACTCTTACATTCTTCAAAAGCCGGCATCTCGCCGGACTAGCAATTCTTGACTCAGTCCACCTCGGTGGAAAATACCCCGGTCCACTCCCCCGCTGTTCTTGGATGACGTGCAAAAGAGGTCAAAGTCCCCGATACCTACGGCCCTTTCGCTTGTCAAATAACGGAAAATTCCCTGCAAATGCCTCGCTATGTCCCGGCCGGGGGGGTGCGGGAGTTTACATTGACTGGTGCATAAAGTTTAGTTGGTAAAAAGCACATGGTGACTGCTGTCTTACGTCACCGGTCACCTGCATATCAAACTGAACTTTGCACACGGCAGCTGATTAACAAAAATATATTATTCAAAAAACACTGCGACAACACACATAAATAAATAAATACTGCTCGACATCGACATAGCATATGCTATCGAAGGATCTGCTGAAGATTCGATCAGCTAAAAGTAGAAAATGAAAAAGCAAAAAATCTCGCTAAAACGGAATCAGATTTCTAACGTCTATAAATAAGGTAGCAGCTTAAATGAAATAACAACAACCTAGCCAATGGAAAAAAAATTAACATGTGTAATTCGTTTACCCAGATTATCAATTTCACTGCTATACGACACGATAGACATTCACAATCTTGAAAATTTCGTAAGCGAAAAATAGATTGAAAACTATCGATGGAAACATAGACTGGGTTAAATATGACAGTTATGTAAAACTATATTTCTAAGAATACAATATTCATTCTGGAATATTTATGCAAATAACCGGACTCATCAATCTCCGCATGAAATCTGTCTACTTTTTGTTTTTGTTTGAACAACGAAAAAAAATACTAGCATAAAATACTAGCATAACATTCAGTAACTTGACTACGTTTACATTTATGTAAGTAAAAATTGAACAGAAGGTTACCTCGCAGGTTACTTTTATTAGAACTTGTGCGGTTGTGCAGCGTTTATTGCAGCCGGCATCGGCGCCGCTTGAGCTTGTCCCGGCGGTGGAGGATATTGGTTTGGTGGCGGTGGATAGCTCGGGTAAGGCGGAGGAGCCTGATTAAAGCCTTGAGGAGGCGGGTTGTAACCAGCTGGAGGAGGCTGATAGTAGTTCACCGGCGGAGGAGGATGTACTTGTTGCGTCGACATGTGTGTATGGGTTGAGACGATCTGTTGTGGCTGTTGGCCGGTGACGATCACAGTACCGGGTGTACGATAGCGGTAATAGGGGCAACAAGCACAGCAGAGACAGGACACAATGGAAATGATGATTGCGAAGAAAATAATTGTGCCGATAATAGAGCCTGCAATAGCTCCACCGCTCCAACCACAGTGTGATGAACAAACTCCCCCACAACAATCCTCTCCAATGTCACAATCGGAGTCGTACGTGCAGGAACAAGAAGACGAACTACTGATGCATGTGCTACTACAGCACTGCTCATCAATGCCACAATCGAAGGTGGACGAACAGGAACAAGTGGAGAAAATGCTGATGCATTTGTTATCACAGCATTGTTCGTTCGTCCCACACTCGCTGTTGTACGAACAGTAGGAACATTTCTCTCTACAGACTCCATCTGTACAACAGGACTCACTATAGGAACAATCGCTTTTGAAGGTACAGTAGGTAGCACTTCCCAAGGTAAAGAAACAGACGAAAAGAAAGCATAAAAATTCCTTAGAAGCCATGGTCTTCCTCACAATTTCAATGGCGTGTGTTAATTGATGTGACATTGATAGCGAGGGGGGGAAGGGGAAGGGGACGAGGAGAAATTTCATAACATTTACCAAATAAGGTCATGAGATGCCACGGGGTTACACCGTAGAACAGGGCACACAACCTGGCCTACGGGACAACAAACTGGCCGCACCGAGCGCTCTCGGAAGTTTGCATTTTTGTTTTGTTTTGTCTTTTCACCCCACAATAATATCTTTCTTTTCAGGTCCCAAAAATACGTTTAAACTTTAAATTATAGTATATTCCCATAGATCTTGGTCACCTCCTATTTCACTATCCATATAAAATCAATTTGCAAAGTAGCAAGTTTAGAGCAATTACTATTTTGCAAAATGGACTATAATCACTGAGCGGTAACGATGAAGCCATTCTCGTGTCATACAACGGCTTTGGTAATTTACTAATTTGAAATATTTAAATTTATTTTCGTAACATAAAAGATGTCGCATTTTCCATGCATAATTCGGGTAAATTCACATTTTACTGTCCCTGTTCAAATGTATACTTTGCTTTAATTAACGATGCAGAAAAAGATTATGAGCGATTTTTGGTATAGGACGTATAGAGCGAGAAGAGGACGATGTTCGATTCGCATCGCGTTTTCGAAACTAGATTTCAACGTCCAAGCGGTTTCTGCTTGCATTTGTAAACAGTGCCACAGTCGTCGAAGAACGTTGCATCATTTGCCGCAAAATCTCAAGGTTTTCATAGATTTCACAAGGAGATAGTTAAGTCGTACTCTTTTCTCAATCGAAAGAATGGCTGCAAGAAACAAATAGCTTTAAGCTAGCTTTAATTTAATAGTTGCGCAGCACCGTTTGCATGCAAAGAGGCGGACAATCCTCTTGGCCCAAATCCATTGAGCTACTGCACCTGGTGTTTTATGAAAGCTTTAATCGGCGGCACGATAATTATAGTGACCGGTTTCTTATAGAGAAGGAAGGCGATCGATCACTGGCGTACAGGTGGCCCAAGCTCCAGCTGTGAGAAGATTATCTTCCTGTCATTTTGAGATTGGGTTTTTCGCTCTCGGAAATGGCGTGTGTAGCCTTGTCCTTCTCGTAGGAGTAGGAAACTTAGAAATGGTTAACTTGCTAAAATGGCCGCGGTTTAACCAAGTAAGCGGTCAGACAACAAGCAATGCACAGTAAAAGTAAAGTGAAATATTGTTTTATGAAAGCTTTAACCGGCGGCACGTTAATTTAATTGACCGGTTTCTTCTAGAGAAGGAAGGCGATCGATCACTGGCGTACAGGTGGCGCAAGCTCCAGTTGTGAGAAGATTATCTTCCTGTCATTTTGAGATTGAGTTTTTCGCTCTCGGAAATGGCGTGTGTAGCCTTGTCCTTCTCGTAGGAGTAGGAAACTTAGAAATGGTTAACTTGCTAAAATGGCCGCGGTTTAACCAAGTAAGCGGTCAGACAACAAGCAATGCACAGTAAAAGTAAAGTGAAGTATTGTTTTATGAAAGCTTTAACCGGCGGCACGATAATTAAAGTGACCGGTTTCTTCTAGAGAAGGAAGGCGATCGATCACTGGCGTACAGGTGGCCCAAGCTCCAGCTGTGAGAAGATTATCTTCCTGTCATTTTGAGATTGGGTTTTTCGCTCTCGGAAATGGAGTGTGTAGCCTTAGGAGTAGGAAAACTCAGAAATGGTTAACTCGCTAAAATGGCCGCGGTTTAACAAAGTAAGCGGTCAGACAACAAGCAATGCACAGTAAAAGTGTGAAGTATTGTTATATCTACTCCTAAGAGTAAATATTCCCATACAAACTCTTATAATATTTTCACAAAACACGATTGGTGTCAGGTTTTCGTCGACGTTTCCCCCCTTCCGTTTTCCCTTGGGGGGGGGGGGGTACGGCTACGCGTAGATGCACCGATAAGGCCTTAGGATATATTTGATCAAAATATTAAAAATTGAAATAGTAGTGGAATAATATAACAAATTTTTAATGGTTTGACATTTAATACGAGCGGACATCTTGCTCACTATTCGCAATTTTCTTCGCAGCTTTACTCGCGCCTTTGGGGCGCGAATAAATACTATGAGTCTCACAATTTACCCGCAAGTATTAAATGTTAAGCCACCAAAAAAAGTGTATATACATAATATCTTAACGGGGATGGTTCAGTACCTTTCAATTCAGGCCAAAGCTGATATTGAGGAAGGCCCAAATATTGAACAAAGTTCCTAAAGACACCGGAAATCTGTCAAGCCTGACGTTATTCAAGAAAAAACAAAGTCACTCGTAAATAACCCTCTTCGAAAAATTGTATTTAATCAAATTCTAAATGTATCTTTTTTAATTATGGCGACTCGTATTAATCTTGTATCAGTTCATCTTGAATAAAGTTTATGCAATTATTTTCTAATTATTTAGCCATTTCAACCAAATTTAACATTTATTGGAATAATTCATATTCAGTGATTTGGAAACATCATAGACGAAGGCCTTGACTCTATCGTAAAATATTAATAAAAAACTGTACTTCCGTAAGCATCCGTGAAAAGAGCAAATAAAAGGATGAAACTCCGGGAAAATTACTTTGCATGTCACGCAATTGTAACCTACTGGAAATCGACAATTGAGTAAGAATCTTGAAATATCCAATAGGGTTAACCGATAACAGTAAGACGGCCAAAAACATTAGCCATTTGGCTCAGAAATTGACAAATTTTACTCGTTAGCCGTACGAAAAGTTAACCGTAAGGAAAATTTCTGGTGACCACAATGGAAAGGTATTAACTGTTTATAGCCGTAAATAGGCCAAAATTGTCAACATTAACCGTAAAAGCCATCATTACACTAAGATCCTCAACCTTGGGATGGCAATTGTGAATTTTCTCTAATTCTACTCCGATGTAAAAAATTGTTCTATGCAAACTTGCGCCATACCATGGATATATGACATATGCCATACATAAATTAGTTGCCGGTTGTTTCCATGTTGACTTGCTTCAAACATCTTAGTACTTGGCCGGTTCGGGCAGGAAGCACAGCAGAGGTAGGATACAGTGCAAATGACGAAGGCGAAGAAGACAATATTGCTGATGATAATACCTGCAATAGTTCCGCTGCTCACACCACAGTTTGACGGACACACTCCCCGACAACATTCCTCTCCAATGCCACATTGGAAGTCATACGTACAAGAACAATACAAAAAAATTTAAGCTGTGATATTCTATTACCGAGATTGACTGTTATACGACACGATCGACATTCGCCATCTTGAAAATTTCATAGGCGGAAATAGATTGAAAACTGTCGATGGAAGCATAGACTGGGTCAAATACAGTCACATCGGTTTAATATGGCAGTTAAGTGAAACCACATTTCTAAGAATACAATATTCAGTCTGGAAAAATGATGCAAATGGCCTGAGTCACCTTTCTCTGACAAAAATCCTTTCCACAAGGAAACTGTGTCTACTTTTTGTTTTTCTTTGTGTGACGAAAGCAAAATGAAAGATTAAATTAGCAGATATACAGCGCACAGGTCATTCTATACTTCATGTACTCCTTCGAATGTCAAAACTATCCCTAGAAAATACTAACATAACATTCAGCATTCAGTAACTTGACTACGTTTACGCTTACGTAAGTGGAAATTAAACCGAAAGATATTTATTTCACCGAAACAGTTCTGTTTGGTGGTTACTTTTATTAGACCTTGTTCGGTTGTCCAGCGTTTATTGCAGCCGGCATCGGCGCCGCTTGAGCTTGTCCCGGCGGTGGAGGATATTGGTTTGGTGGCGGTGGATAGCTCAGGTAAGGCGGAGGTGCCTGACTAAAGCCTTCAGGAGGCAGGTTGTAACCAGCTGGAGGAGGCTGATTGTAGTTCACCGGCGGAGGAGGATGTACTTGTTGCGTCGTCAAGTGTGTGTGAGTTGAGACCATTTGTTGTTGTGGCTGTTGGCCGGTGACGACCACAGTACCGGGTGTACGATAGCGGTAGTACGGGCAACAAGCACAGCAGAGACAGGACACAATGGAAATGATGATGGCGAAGAATATAATTGTGCCGATAATAGCGCCTGCAATAGCTCCGCCACTCCAACCACAGTACGATGACGAACAAACTCCCCCACAACAATCCTCTCCAATGTCACAATCGGAGTCGTACGTACAGTAACAAGAAGACGAACTACCGATGCATTTGCTATTACAGCACTTCTTGCTCGATCCACATTGGTAGTCGTAGGAACAGGAACAAGAAGACAAACTACTAATGCATTTGCCATTACAGCATTTCTTGCTCGATCCACATTGGTAGTCGTACGAACAGGTACAAGAAGACGAACTACTGATGCATTTGCTATTACAGCACTGCTCGCTAATTTGACACTGGTAGTCGTAAGAACAGGAAGAAGTGGACGCCTGGTACGCCTGGTTAGCTCAGTTGGTAGAGCGCCAGTCTGCTGTGCGGGAGGTCGAGGGTTCGAGCCCCAGACCGGACCAACACTCAGGGTCTTAAATGCCTTTGTAATTGTACCAGCAAATGGTTAAACATTCAAGTCTTCTCGGATAAGGACTATAAACCGTAGGCCCCGTCTCCTGCATCTTCAGTGTTACATGGTCAGCAGGGGACGTTAAAGAACCCACACACTTGTCGAAAAGAGTAGGGGGCGTAGTTCCCGGTGTGGTGGTCTATCTGTTGTTTCATTGTACATTTCATGCATGGGCTGGGTGGGTGAGTGAGATCAAATATGGACTGATAGCGGCAGCCAGAGGCGCCTTTACAAGCTGACGTTCGATCTCACTCAATTAGAATTGTAAACCGCCTTGAGACAGTATGTGATATGTGCGGTATATAAATACACATTCATTCATTCATTCATACAGCATTGCTCATTTGTTCCACACTGGTAGTCGTACGAACAGTAGTAACATTTCTGTCTACAGACTTTATCTGAACAACAGGACTCACTGTTGAAACAATCGCTGTCGTCGTTACAGTAGGTAGCACTTCCCAAGGCAAAGAAATAGACAATAAGAAAGCATAAGAGTTTCTTTGAAGCCATTGTCCTTGCACAGTTTTAAAGGCGTCTGTTCGATGTGAGATAATAATTTGATAAATTGGACGCAGTTAACTGGTTTCCAAATTATCATATATGGCATTGATGGTGATAGGGGGGAGGGGAGGGAGAGAGGTGGGGATGTTGAGGGGGACGAGGAGAAAGTCCATAACATTTTACCAAAGAAGGTCACGAGATGCCACGGATAACCCTCTAGAACAGAGCAAACAAACTGGCCTACCGGGCAACAAATTGGCCGCACCGGGCGATGCAAAATTAGTATTTTTTGTTTTTTTGTGTGGCTTACACAACGTGTGTAGCCACATTATGGCACGATCGGATTTCTTTATTTGTTTGTACACGAGAGTCGAGCGCCTGTCACGTGGTCTAGTATCGTAGTATTGTACGGCGCACTAATCTGAGTCAGCCATCTTGATCGTAAGCGTGATCTCGAGTAATTTTTTTCATGTGATCGTATCACGAGTTAGTTCTCCTCACACAAGCCAACACATTCAGACCCGGTTTGTGTTATAAGTGCAGCTTGTGCAAGAGCTTCTACGTTCTTAAAAGACAATATTTCACTGCTTGAATCTTCGGTACGGGCTGTACCACACTGAAAGGAGCTCTTGCACTCTCACAAGCCAACAACTATCGGCTTGATCTATCGGTGCGGGTTGCACCACTGAGTGTGTCTGTGTAGCAATGTCACTTACTGCTATTATTTATCATTACATAGAAGATATCAATTTGTGGACTTCTTCCCTTTTGAATAATATTCTTACCAATGGAAATAATTTGTATACTTCTATAAGATGTTCTGTCTAAACAAATGATTATTTGCTTTTAACTGATGTTCCATACATTGTTTCAATGTACAATAATGTATACACATTAGAATATAGTGAGTCATTAACAGGAATTTTGTTCATAAATAATGGGCCATACATGTCTCTTCAAAATTCTCTGACAGAAGTGTTTTCAAATTGTCAACTTAACTACAAGTGTTGTTTGTTAATGATTGGAATAAATACTGTTGCAGTGATTAAGAATTCAGAACAAAGCTTTAAAATTTTTGATGCTCATTCCAGGGATTTGCATGGGATGCCCCACTCATTTGGGAAATGTTTGCTTACCATTGAAGGAATTGAAAACCTTGTATCTTGTATCTTGTATATTTGAACATTTCCTGCTTAAAGGTGTCTTTGTCAGAGATAATGAACTTGATTTGCAAAATGTTCACGAGAGTCCAAAAAGTGAACATTTGCCTTTCATAAATAAAAGAAACCAAACACAACATATGAAAACGAAGTAAAAGTCTTTAACTGAAACGCCAGAAGAAAAAGAAAAACGAGTGATTGCTAAGCATGAATATGAGAAATGAAGAAAGGTAAATGAAAGTGAGGAATCTAGGGAAAAGAGGCTGGCACAGCAGCGTCTGACCAGGGAAAAGAAACGTGCAAATGAATCTTCTGAATTAAGAAAAAAGGGGGTTGGCAAACCCAATCTCAGTATCAAAGATAAAAAATTGCAAATGAATCAGCAGAATGTAGAGTGGAGAGACAGTTAAACCAACGTCAATATCAGAATGAAACTAGAAGCATAATTGTATTCACCCAAGCTTTCTGTTGGAAATAAACTTTGTTTTTTATGCTTGCATTTGCCTAAGTTTTTATACAATTATTGGTTTATCCTGTAACTGTTTTTGCGTGGTTTACATGAGGTTCCTCGCTGGATTTATCACAGTGAACAGAGCGCTTGTCACGTGGTTTATTATTGTCGAAGATTGGTTTCAGTCTATGCTTGGCTAAGTTACCTAAGCTTCAAAGCTTCAGAAAGCGACCATTTTGCAATGGTGGCTGTAACACGCTGTCGAAGATCGTTTTTTTATCTAGTTTTTCATTCATCTTTGTTGCTTAGATTTCACACGCCGGCTTTCCTACAGTCGGCGTGTCTTCTAAGTGCGGATTACAGCGTGGAGTTGAGCTCTGACAGGCCAACATTTCATGGTCTGGACCTTCAGTGCAGGTCATGCCACATTGAAACTTAGGAGTCATTATTGACTCTCTTTGCGGTCACATTTCACATAAGTCATTTACTGGAACATTTTTTATCCTGAATTTCTGTTTATACCACATGCTCAGTGAGAAAATTACTTAACCAGTCTTTTTAGTACATGCAAAGATAAAATTTTGGTTGAACTGCAAAATACCTTACCACCCATGGCATTACATGTCATTGAATACGAATAGAATAAACCATTTTTAGCCAGTAGTGAAAATAGGACTTTTTTGTTGCCATTAGAAAATCAAACACTGCTGTTGTCTGGAAATTCAATTTGACGGCCTCTTTAAATGAAATTATACTTTCATGTTTACATAGCTAAACCAATAAAAGTCACAAACATCTAACGCCTGAAACTGCGGTTTGTCGTTAACAAGGTGCTAAATGTCTATTGTGATTGTCTCCAAACTTAAGGGAGTAATCCATTGAAACTCAGTAACGAAGTGGTTTTGCTTTTATTAAAATATGAATCGAAGCCTAGTGCTTTAATGTTAACTGAAATGTGATTAGTGATATATTTTCCAAGTTATGGCCAGAATTATTCAGACCTTAACATCTCATGACTTCCTTCAAGCTTGGCAGTCTTCTAGACTCTCTTCATACTTCATAAAATTACACCTTTTTGGTTGGCTGAAAATAGCTAGGTGCCTTTTTCATTTATCATTAGTGAAAAATTAATAACTCATGTACAAAATAATATAAACTAGGCTTAGCAACAATAGATCACATTAGAAACCAATCAGATTTACACAAAGTAGGTTCTGATTGATAAATGCAGTAGCTGACAAAAATAAAAAAGAGCTTGGATACTTCTATGTATATTGATAAACACTAAAAAATTGCATTCCTGAGTAAGAATTCCGCTGAAGGACAAATTTTGATGGCATACACTTCATTTAGTCAATACTGTCAAATTTATCTGCCATCAGTTTGTTGATTTCCTGTAAATGTGTATCTTTCATGTATACGTTATGGATAATTAATAACATGATTTCTCATATGATAAGCACCTGTAAATTTTTCAAATACTTTAAACTGCACACACGCTATGAGCTCAACATTTGTTGTTTGTGAAAAATTTACTTCCGCTTGTTTAGAACACCAAAGTACACTTTAATTAACTTAGCTTAGACTTTGTTGAGTTTTTATTAAGATAGTTCAATGGAACTGGCATTTGTTACATTTATAGTTAAAAGTTAGAGCTAATTGATGTGGATTAGATAACCATCAGGTATTCTCGGAGACCCAAGGTTCTAATCACATCTGTAGACCCCTTAAAAGCACAGTCTTAACAGATCAGTTCCAAACTGTCACGGTCATTCTGAATTTTGATTGGTACCAGTAGTTCAATCTTGTTCTGGCAAATGAGAGAGAAGCAGGTCCCACAAGTCCTCTTGTGTGCTCTAACTCAAAGTGATACATGAAATTCAGTTGCTTACCATGTTTGTTTTGGACCTTTTTGTACGGTAGATTAGCACTTTGCATGATGATGTGAAGTCGACCATTTGCATGATGATGTCAAGTTCACCCATTCATTTCTCCACATAACTTGAATTTGGTAGACTCACTGGCATGAAATTACAATTTCAATTAAATAAATTAAAATTGCCCTTAACTACTTACGTTTACTTCAAAATCCTCCTTAACGACTAGCGTTTACTTCAAAATTCTTGTGAAAGTTATATATTGGATAATATACTTCATTATTCTTTTAGTTTCGCCAGGTTTTGTTTCGTTTCGTTTCGCAAAATAGCATAATCACTGGCACACAGGCGGCCCAAGCTCCTTAACCTTTCAGCTGAATCGTGATTTTTATTTATTTTTCAAGAAAGTTTGGACTGAAATTTCCGGTTGACTTACCTTCGGCACGTTTTCCAGTCCAACTGATGGCGGATCTCGTCCATCGCCCCAATCGCTCAATTCATCATCTGTTTCCACAGATATTCGCAAAAACCACAAAAATAATCGCTAAAAACCACAACTTATCCACCGGTTAGCGTTATCCGGCTCGAAGGACCAGAAAGAATTATCGCGTAAAATGCTTCCACCACAAAGTTAAGTACTTTATTTTACAACTCAATCATTTATTATTTTTTTTTTTAACCACGAGGTCTCGTAAAATCACAAGACCCTGACGTTTCTAATTCAATTGCACGCAATGCGACAAGCCGACTACGTCTCGTGTTTCTCCTTACGCTTCTTTCGTGTTCTAGCCGCTTCCGGCGTACTTTAAAACGGCGCCGCTTGAGCTTTTCCCGGCGGTGGATAACCCGGGTAAGGCGGAGGTGCCTGATTAAAGCCTTGAGGAGGCGGGTTGTAACCAGCTGGAAGAGGCTGATTGTAGTTCACCGACGGAGGAACATGTACTTGTTGCTTCGTCATGTGTGTATGAGAGACCATTTGTTGTTGTGGCTGTTCGCCGGTGATGATCACAGTACCGGGTGTATGATAGAGGTAGTACGGGCAACAAGCACAGCAGCAGCAGGACACGATGGAAATGATGATGGCGAAGAAGATAATTGTGCCGATGGCGCCTGCAATAGCTCCTCCGCTCTAACCACAGTATGAGGAACAAACTCCCCCACAACAATCCTCTCCAATGTCACATTGGTAGTCATACGTGCAGGAACAAGAAATCGAACTACTGATGCATTTGCTATTACAGCATTGCTCGCCAGTGTCGCATTGAAAGTCGTAGGAACAGGAGCAAATTGAGAAACCACTGATGCATTTGTTATCACAGCATTGCTCTTTCGTCCCACACTGGTAGTCGTACGAACAATAGTAACATCTCTGTCTACAGACTTTATCTGAACAACAGGACTCACTGAGGGAACAATCACTACAGTAGGTAGCACTATCCAAGGCAAAGAAACAGACCAAAAGAAAGCATTAAAGTTTCTTTAAGGCCATAGTCCTTTTACAATTTCAAAGGTGTCCGTTCGATGTAAGATAATAATTTGATGAATAAGACGCGGTTGGCTGGTTTCCAAATTATCATATATGGCATTGATGGTGATGGGGGGGGGGGGGGTGTTTGGAGGGGGGATGGGGATATTGAGGGGGACGAGGAGAAAGTCCATAACATTTTACCAAAGAAGGTCTTGAAATGCCACGGTAATACACTTTAGAAAATTGCAACAAACAGGTCGCACCGAACGATCCAACATTAGTATTTCTTGATTTTTGTTTTCTTCGGCTGGACTTTTGAAGAAGCGAACTTAACTTTTCGTTTACTTCTTATGCGATCGATAACCGTATTAAAATATTTTTCGCAAAATAGTAATTTAGGAGAGACACTATTTTAAGAAATATTGAAATTTATTTTCGTGACATGGAAAATCTCGGATTGTCCAGAACATAAAGGTACAGGAATTCAGATCTCGTTATGCAAAGTATGTATATTATAATTGTGGTCGTGTTGTATGTGAATGTCATGGCTAAAAACGTGATCGTGAACCAAGTAGAGTACTAGTAAATATGTTGAAATGTCTCTCTCAGAAAGGCAGAAAATTACAGAGGTACGTATGGAGCCGATTAGGGAAAAACCTAACAAAATCATCGAAAGTTCATCGTCTCATTGCACCAGGAAGCAAAAGTAGACACAAAACAAGTGTCAGGCTTGTACAAAAAATGAGAAGGAAACCCATTTTTAGAACAAGAAAAGTCAATTCTGCAATGAGATATGTTAACAAGTCAAATACAGCTAAACATGGAAAGAAATATTTCAAATTACTTAAGGTTGTGTTCGTGTAATTTCCCATATAGTGAGTACAAGAGTCTTACTCATAGAGGCAATTGTACAAAGTACAAGCTTTGTAATGATGTGGAGGAAAACCCTGGTCCTGCCATGCACCATGTTGATCCCAATAAAACAATAAAAGAACCATATAAAAAAGGGGATGTTGTTGTATTTGGACAAAATGCAGGACAAAAATGTGTTGCAATGAGTTTATGTGCCTTAATATACCACAATATGAAAGGAATAAGTAACCCTGGTGACTTGAAACAAATAGTGCATATTGGCAATCAACTATAGAGCAGTTTGTCAAAACTAGCAAGACAATCATTCTTACTGCTAACAGAATTACCAACAATGCTTACAGTATTGCAGGGAAATTGAGGGATATCAATACTGTATGGGCCTGAAAAGAGCTTTTGAGTCACTGATATCAGAACAATACAGGTTGCTTATTTTGAAAGTTGGTTGTATTGCTGTCGGTATTATTTATTGTGCTGACAATCGCCATTTTAAAGTGTTCGACTCATGCAAGAGAAGTTTATGGCGAGAGTCATCCTAAAGGGACATGCATACTATTAGATATATAATCTGCAGACAACTTAGTGCAATACTTTCAAAGTTTATACGGAGTAATTGATGTGTATGAACTAAAAGGTTTACATATTACAAAGTATGACATCACAGTGAGCAACAGTGTAAAGATGTGTTAAATACACCATCAGATCAACAGAATTGTTTCAAAAACCACTACTGCTTTGCCATAGCTCTTTAATCTATATGTTACTCAATCATTTCACCTTGTGGTTACTGGAACTCAAATACTTTAGATGCAATTATTCAAAATGGAACTCGGCTTAATAATACAATGCAAAGTGAACATCACTTAGCATCTATTTATATTCGTAACAGTGTTACAATTTTTGGCATTAAGATAAATTTAGATGTTGATAAACTAAGTCACAGAAAATTAACTAAATTACCTGAAAGCCAGATATCTTTAAAGACCTTGATTTTAAGGAAAAATGGGAAAACAGAATTTTTAATGTGCATTTCAAGTTACTGTGCAGCTTGTAGTTATCAACAAAATACCACAGTAAGATTGTTTTCACTGCTGACATGAAGATGGTAATTCACCTGCAATGAAACATATAAAACACATCAGTGGTGTTAACAAACTTGTAGAGGCAATTCATGATATTATTCAAAATAAACAGCAATGTCAGACTGTAGAGTATGATATACAATTTATTCGCTGTTCTTGTGATATTAGTGAAAATGAAAGGGAAAATATGACGAGAAAACAGAAAAAAACATGTACATGACAGCATGGAACCTGTTGCCAAAAAAAGGTTTGTAGAGGAGATTCAAAAGAGGTATTCAACAATGGATCCTACAAAAAAGAAAGAATTATCTTGCAAACACTGACAAAATTACCAATCTTTAGATGGTATAGATAAGAAAAAATTATTCCACAAACGCAAAGAAAAATACCAATCCATGGATGTGACAAAAAAGAAAGAATTATTTCAGAAATGCACGGAAAAATACGAATCAATGGACACAGAAGCTAAAAGAGATCTATTGAATAAAAGAAAAGAGAATCAAAGTCAAAGCCACATCTATTGAATCACGTATTAAACCGTTTAAGAAGAAAATGAGAGAAGGCCCTTATTTCATATGTACTCTCTATGATCGAATACTTTATAAAAAAATAGGTCCGCAATGCGTACTTGTGTGGGATTTTATTGACAAAGTGTTTGGAAGGGGTTTTTGAGCGGAAGCAAACCTGTCGCTCACTGTGAGTCAACTGTACTACAGGGGTGATATTAGGCCTGGAATCAACAGTCTGAATAGTAATTTTTGTGTGGGAATTATTTGAACAAATACAGATTCACAGGAAGGATCTGGGGTATTAACTTTTCCTTTTATCAAGCAATATGCCTTTCCTTCCCTCCCTGGAAGCTTTTTGGCGTGTTTTTGAACGTTTGGTAATCGTCTTCAACAAATAAATTACCTCTTGGTGGCTTAGGCTATTTATTTGTTTATACGGCAATACTGGAAATACTTGGAGCAGTAAATATTTTCGTAACAGTCATTGAAAAAAAAATTGAAAAAATTTCTGCTACTACTTTTTAACTCGTGGATACACGACAGCGTAGAAACGAGTTCTTGTGGGCGCTCTGCGATATGCAAATTAGCGTGGACTCTTCGTAATTAGTCGTAATTAGTCGAACTCGAGATCTATCCTTCCGAAGAAGTAAGTCCAAAGTCGTGGCGCTATTATGATTGCACTGATCGTTGCGATATTTATTGTCTTTACACGCCTGTTTCGACATTTACTATATTGAAATGGACTTCAAATGTTTCAGATTAGTGCTATGATCAACTTAAAAACCAAATTTGAAGCGTCTTCGAATCGTCCATGCGCTGAACATAACGAGGACCAGCGAGAATCACGAAGAGTTTGTGAGTGACAGCAAGCTGTTGACACAGAAATTCCCACGGAAGCATGTACACATGACATAAAAAAAATGGTAATTTGCAGCATTATTTCTTTCTACGCCAATTTGGGTCTTTCCGTTGTAATCGTTTCGTTTTGATGGTAAGAATGAAAGATGATCGCTTTCCACAAGTCGTTGCCGAGCACGTGACTATAATCTGGCCGGTGTTGTTTTGATCACTTGACAATCTTTTTCGCTGAAAATACAGGACGACTTCCTATTTCAAGGAATGTTTTTCCAATTAATTTCTATCGCATCGGTGTAAAAAAGTACAGGTATATGGGTGTTCTGAAAAACAAAAGGGAAATTCAAAACTACGAGAAATTGCGAGTAATCGGCCTCTTGTACTACACGCGGGTTTTTTTGGTGTAACATGCGTGTGTTTCCCGTAAGTTACAAGCACTTTACGAACGTGGGAATGCTGCAATCACGAATTTTATATTACGTGAAAGTCACGCATGTGGTTGTTTGCTCACTTCACTAATATGTTTGTTTGCTTGTTGTTGTTTTTTTTGGTATCCTGGAGTATTTCAGGAGGGGTTGCAGACTTAACTGTGGAATAATTGTTTAATGCAGGGTTGTCAATAAAGGTTGCAGTTAGAAATTAGCCAAGATGCTAAAGGAGCTGCCTTGAAATTTCAGGACTGTGTGTTATGTAGTTTATTTTTGTCTTTTGTAAATGGTTGTTAAACTGGACAACTCTTAGAAAGATGACTTCAAACTTAATTTTAAAAGGCCTGTTCTGGTACCAAATGAATAAGCAGCATTTCCTTATTAATAGTTTTGCAAGTTTCTCATTACAAATTCCTCTGAAAAAAGAGAAACAACTCTTTTCATAACTATTTACTGCTTTCTTTTGTTGCTCTCTTAACTTAAAAACAATGTACATCATGATAAAGTAATTTGTTATAGGACACCGTGAAATGAGGCCCAAACAGCTTTATGATCTGTGAAATGTGTTTCTAAAACATCTGCTTGTATATCAATGTTAGATATATTTGTATATATATGATCAATTACTGTGTTGTTGTCAGTTGTATAAGTTGATATGAACTGTTTGTAGTGGTTATCCCTCACTAGTAAATTATACAAAGGTCTTCTGTCTGTTTCAACAAGCCAATTTATATCAAAGTCTCTAGTAATGATATTGTTGTCTGGTGAAATGTTATTTAATACCTCAGTTATTGCTTCATAAAGTTGTCTTACAGGCACGTTTGGGGAGTGACATATCCCTATGATTGTCCAATCCTCAAACCTTGCTAACTTAATTGCTGTTATTTCAACACCATGTATATTGTGACTATAGGGGTATCCAGGTTAGTATGGGATTTTACTGTACACAGCTGTACCACCATAAGACCTTGATCCATTGCTGGAATTAAGGTTATCATTATGGAAGAGAACATAACCAGCAATGTCATACATGTCATTATTATCTTGAGAATTAAATCTTGTTTCTGTGAAAATATTGATATCAGCACTTAGATAAATTAAGTCTTTATGTATATCTTCTATGTGTTTGTGAAGAGACCTTACATTAAGATAACACAGTTTAAGAAGGGAAAATGTTATGTCATGGAGAGGGAGATGCAAAGCTTAAGTTTTGCAGTTGTTCTTAATCTCTCCATCTGGATTAACAGCAATCTTGCTTTCACACAAATCAGAAATAT